AAGAAATAACAATATTTTAAACAGTTTTTACTTTCTCATTATAATTCACAAATGTAACTTCCATTAAATATTATATACTTCAAGGGGGAAAATATAGAAACTATTTGAATTAAGCACCAAATTAATAGCTGTTATCTGAAGGCGACAGACCTATTAAACAAATTATAGGTACAAACAAAAGAATCATATAAAACCCATTTATGTATCGAAAAAATGACTCATATACAGGATAGGGGCCTTACGTCCAAACATTTAGCGTCTCATTGTGGATAGTAAACATACTAAGCAAGACCTGCTTCAACGGCCATTCGGACCGGTAATGGCCCAAAATGTACTCGTTGTCCCTTAAGTAGTTGGGTAAAGTGTGGTACTCAACCAGCTGATACTTCACCTTCTTCCACAGCCGCTTTCCTTTACCTTCCTTCAGTGAACATGCCTGATGGTCCTCCATTACTTCAGATGACAGTTTTGAATCTTCAAAATTCTGGATCTCACTGCCCATTTTCTGTTCAACCACAAGCACCCAATGTTACACTTACAAAAAGAAAAATGCTCTTTTTGGTTGCCAAAGTTGACCCCAAAAAAATGAAAATTATAAGATACCAAGAAATAAACCCAGATTCTAAAGCATTGATCTTTCATTGCATGGTAGACAAAAGATCCAATATTGCATCAAATTTTCCCTTTTTGAATTGAGCTTTCAACAATTGCAGATAGAACATAAAACCCAACAAAAAGAATTTATTCTTAATTTATTTTCCTTTTTCTTTTGCTGCATTTTCTTGGAAACCAAGCGGCATACAACATCAACAATCTAATAACAATCATTTGCATAATTGTGGGAAAGCAAAGCTCAACGAGAAAAACCCAGATGAGAAAACGTACCTGAAAATTGAAGAACCACCAGCTGAGAAAAATCAAAGCAGCCCCAGAAGAAGATTCTTCTGGCTCAGATGGGTTTTTAGTGTTTGCTTTATATAGTATATTCGAGCGGTGATAATCAGAAATGAAACAATTGTCGTTAGGAATAAATTCCAAAAATGAGTGTTTGGATTATGAGAAGCCAAGGAGTTTTGTCAATGACTGGGTTTTCTTGGGGATTGATAAAAACCCACAAGAGAAAACTGGACGTCGGTTGCTAAAATAGCTTGGAAATTGAGAGGAGAGATTCGTTTGGGGAGATGCGGAGATGCCTATGGACATTCCGTGATCAGGCAGAGAGACTTATATAAGTTTGGCACTTGTGGAGGAAAACGACTTGTCTTCTGAATAATGAAATATATTTTTTCAAGTGCTTAGTTAGACCACGGCAGCCTTCGAGATTTTATGGCATTGAAAAAAAAGTAAAAAAAGGATTTTTCAATACCAACCACACAGGAAATTTATTAAATGAGCAAAACAAACAGACATTGGCACGTGTCGACATAATACACCATGGACAAATTGATATAAATTCTTAAATTAAAGGCAAAAAATAATTTAAAAATTACTAATCTAAAAATGAAAAATTAAATAA